GTACTTTTATCATTGTTTAAAGTTAAATCATACAGAGGCCAGTGGGTGGCATGGTGGGTTGGGGCACTGGATTCGTGTGTGGCTAACTGTGGTTCAAGTCCTGGACCTGAAGGCTTGCTTTCTCACTACCCACACCCCTGTCAAGTTAAAAAAATAATAATAATGAATACAATTGAATAAATAATGCTTTTTAAATTAAATTTAAAATTTTCTAATTTTAAAAATTAAATCACCCATGATTAAATGTATAAAAATCTCTAGAGCCAACCTGGTGGTTAAAGTGTTAGATTCCCACATTTTCAGTCCTGGACCTGGCAGCTTGCTTTCTCACTCCTCCCCACCCTCTGCCCCGGTCAAATTAAAAATTAATAAATTAAATTAAATTAAATAATTCTTTTAAAAATAAATAAATGTATGAAAATCTCAAGGTATGAATTTGAGACTGTGAGATGGAAGTGTACCATTAGCATTTTTTAAAAATCATGCTTCCTGTATAGAATTAGCTCTAACTGTATCCCAAAAAAGGTCAATAGTAAACTTTTTCTTTCTTTTTTTTCAGATCTGCTATAGAGAACGTGTACTGACTAGACAGGGATAGACAGAGAGAGAAAGATAAATCACTCCCCAGGGCAATGGCCATGCCACAATCCCTTCGCCATTCTACTCTTGGGATTCTGGGCACGCACAAGCCACCAAATCCAGTACTCAAACTGCACAGTTAGCTATATGGGATCTGTCTTAACTAACATACCACCTGGCTGGCCCAATACTAAACATTTGCATGGTGATGAACTGACATCAACAGACGAGGCTATATGACAAGCTTGCAGAATATAGCTCATAAGGAAGAATTCAAGAATTGTACAAATTATAATAACAGACTTCAAAATATTGGGGCCAGCAGGTGGCATGGTGGTGAAGAGTGCTGGACTCCCCATATGGTTGACCGAGGTTCGAGTCCTGGACCTGGCAGCTTGCTCTCTCTCTCCCTCCCCCGCCCCCCAGTCAAAATAAATAAGTAGATAAGTAATTATTTAAATATATAAATATATATAATCTGATTAGGCTTTTAGCACCACTAGACAATGAAGTGGCTGGGAGGCTGTAGAGAACAGTACCCTATGTAATACCGCTGACAATGCATGATTACTGTCACTTAGTAGGTTGTGAACTTGAAGACACTATTTTAATCTTTCTGTGTCTCAGTTTCCTCAGCTATAAAACAGCGATAATAATACCTACCTCAGAACTATAGTGGCTGAGACACTGTATGAGTTTATAAAAACTACCTATTATATTATGGTTATATTATTATTATTATTCACATGTAAATTTTTATTTTACCCATTTCATAGGAAGAAGTAACTAAGGTCCAGATTTCAGAAATTTGCCCAAGGTTATAGAGTTGGGACTTAAGAGAATAAGGAGTTTTTCTTCCTCCTAGGTTAGTGCTCTTTACTTCATTATGCTTCCATGGATCAATATAAATCGAGGCCTGAAAGAGAAGGATTTTTGTGAGATGTATCGAACTCATAAACTAAAATCAGGCCCTTCTATCACTCAGGTCTCCTCATCTACCAAGCACTACTTACCTGCTTCCCATTTGGTTGTACGTGCACTCCTTTCAAGTCTTGAAAAAAAAATTTTGGAGCTTTGATGCTGGTTCACTTTTCACATCTCAGAATAATAACCTCAGGCCAATGCGGTGTCTTAGAGTTATAAAAGTGTCAAATATGTGTCACTCACATGCATTATGTAATTTTTAGTTTCCTGGACAAGAAACAGCTCACTTGGCAACTAGATTCCTATCAGCACTGTGGAAAATCTTAAGATTTTTTTTTCAGCAGTATATTGATAGATGAAAGCTCCTATAGTCAACAACATCCTGAAACATTCCTAAGCCTTACTTTTGGCTCTCTAGAGTCCAGTGTCAGTTACACAGACCGTGTTCACATGTGGAGTGCTAGACACACGGTTACAGCTTCTTAAACAGCAGAAAGTAGAGCTTCACCAAAAAGAATCAAAAAGAAAGACACGAAAATGTAATAGCCCCTGAAATAAGATCAAGAATAGAGTAGATAGGATGCAACACTTAAAATATAGATACAGTTCTTTTCTTTCTTTATTCTTTTTATTTTTTAGATTTTGCATGTGTTTGCCAGAGACACAGAGAGAGAGAAAATGATAAATAACACACACACACCCCCACACGGGGATGGCCACATCATAATCCCTTCTCCTCCATTCTCCTCTTGGGGTTTTAGGAACGCAAGTACATGATCCTGGAGTAGTCTTGAAGCAGCAGGATCCAGGACTCAAGCTGCGCCATCAGCCATGTGGGATCCAGGCACCTTAACCTCCACACCACCTGCTGGCCTGAGCTACTCCATTCTCCTCTCGGTATCTTGGGCACGTACGCACACGCGCCCGGCGTGAGTTTTAAGCCACCGGGTCCGGGACACGAACCACAGTCGACTACGTGGGAGTCCAGCGACATAGCCATTACGCTAACTGCTGGTTCCCTGAGCTACATCTCTTGATGCAGTGAATATTATAACATCTATTACATGCTAAGCATCATGCCAAGTTCTACGAATACAAAGATGAAGAAGAAACAATGCCTACCCTCAAGGAACCAGTATACTAAAGAAGTCTTTTAAAGGAGATGGGAAGAGGGAAGAGTAAAAGGAAAAAGCCAGGAAGAAGCATTACCCCCAGAAAAGTCAAATTTCAGTTGGCAAGGGGCCTCAAGAGTGCAGGTACAGATTAAATAGCCTAGGAACTTGATCCCTAGGTTTATCAATTCTGTAGAAGCAAATGAGACTAATCTCCGTCTTTATTCCCTGCCTACCTAATTTACTTCAGCCCACACCATTAGAACAAGTATGTTCCTTTCTCTACTTCATCCTCCTTCAAAAAACTGGGAGAAGGGACCGGCTCTCCTCCTAGAAACTTTGTTTTTCCCAAGAGCTTAAAATCCTAATTGATAAAAATTCTACTTTTGGAGCCAGCAGGTGCCACGGTGGTTAAGGCACTAGACTCCCACATGGCCAACCACAGTGTGAGTCTAGGACCTGGTAGCTTGTTTTCTCACTTTCTCTCTCTTTCTCCGTCTCTCTCTGGTGGGCACATGTGCTCTGTAGCAAATTAAAATATAATAATAATGATGATAAATAAAATTAAATAAATAATTATTTTTAAAAATTCTACTTTTTAATATGTAAGCACTCCAGCTCAGCAAAAGAGCTAGGAAGAGTCAAGCATTCCCCAACAGCTACCCAAGCTGAGGCCATTATTGTAGCTTCCTGATCTCCAAAGAGCCCTGGAAAAACAAAGGAATGTGGACTTGAGTTCATGCTTCATCTGAGTGGAAGCCTATGAAAGACTACTCTTCCTTTCTTAGATTGTTCCCATTAAACCAGAAAAAAAAAGAAAAGAGAATCAAAATGATTATATAAATAGGTGACAGCATATCAGTAATAAAACTAATGTTTTGGGGGGGCCAGACGAGGTGTGTGTTTGGAGCAGTGGACTCCCACATGGCTAACCATGGTTCAAGTCCCAGACCTAGTCACTTGCTTTCTTACTTTCCCTCTCTCTCTTTCTGTCTCTCTCCGGTGAGTGCACGTGCCCTATAGCAAATTTTGAAATAATAACAATAAATAAAATTAAATAATTATTTAAAAATTTTTTTAATCCTTTCATGAAAATTAAGATATTTCAGTGATTCAAGACACGGACCTGGTAGATTAAAATTCACACCGGGCATATGTGCATGCATGCCCAAGATCCCAGGAGGAGAGTGGAGAAGGGATCACTGCATGGCCATCTTCTTAGGAGGTGATATCTCACTTTCTCTCTCACTATCTCTGTCTCTCTCTCTCTTTCTCTAGCAAGCACATGAGTCCTAAGGCAAAAACCTCTCAAAAAGAAAAAGTTAAAGTAATTATCTTATATTCAACCTAAAAACAGTTCTGACATATTAAAACATGAGTAATTATTTTGACTTTTACATACTCCCCGCATTATTTATAAAGAAGTACAATCCTTCATTATAACCTATGAATGACATCCTCCCTCTAGAAATCCTCGTGGAAGGGTGTGTGGTGTTTTCAGACAGTGTCTCACTGTGTTTTAACCCTCCTGCCTTAGCCTCCTGAGGAGCTGGGACTACATATACATGCCACTACATGGGACCTTTTTTTTTTTTTTTTTGAGAGGTTTTTGCTATAGGACGCATGCACTCGCCAGAAAGACAGAGAGAGACAGAGAGACAGAAAGCGAGAAATCACCCCCCAGGGGAGATGGCCACGCTGCAATCCCTTCTCCTCCATTCTCCTTTCGGGATCTTGGGCACGCACGCACACGCGCCCGGTGTGAGTTTAAGCCACAGGGTCCGGGACTTGAACCACAGTCGACTACATGGTAGTCCAGCGACATAGCCATTACGCTAACTGCTGGTCCCTGCATGTGACTTTTTAAGGTAGGTTGGGAATCAGACCTGGGCCTGCCAGGCAGCAGCATCTGGTGTGCACTAGCACAGCTGGGCCAAAGAACACTCTTAAATCAGTGACTGACACAACATCCTGTAGAAAGAAAACGGCAGTGGAACATCATCCCTGAGAATTCCATGAGAAAGGCCAGCGATAAAAAACACAGGCTATATGAAGACCAACTAAAGGAAATTAGAGGGAATGTTCTGAATAATAAAGAAAGTTACATTATAAGAAGGACCTAAAGAAACAGATCTGATAGATCAAACAAGCAGTTTCTAAGTTATTCCAGTCATAACGATACATGCTGCATTTCACAGGATAAAACCAGCTGCACCGAAGGCAAGGCTCTGAAACGTGTTTGGGCAGCCCCGGACCAACCTATCCAAATTAAGCATTCCCTGCCACCACATAATCAGCATGGACCCGCCCTATTCTTCTGTACCCTGCCTGTTTCCAAGTGCTTCCTCTGGGTTCACCCAATTAGCAAAGCATTCACATACTTACTACTCAGTGAAGAACCTGGCAATGCCATATTGGCTAACATCCTCCCTGTTCTCTAGCAACTGGCACACTGCATCCTCCATGTACGTGAGGACATGTCGCTGAGCTGCAAAAGCAAGAGAGAAAGAGGAAGTGAGGGAAAGTAAAAAACAAGCAAATGGTTTTCCCAACCCCAGTAACAGGCCATGTAAGCCAGTCGAGGTGTTACTCTGCTCAGGAAGTGCACTAGAAGAGGCACTGGTCTTATCGAGCTCTGGTCTCAGAGGGTAAAATAGGAGATGATGTAGAACATGACCTATTGCCATCTGGCTCTTAGAATCAGCATCAGCCCTTCACTGTTCATCTCATTGAGGAGGGTGGATTTACAGGGGAGCTTTAGCACCACTTAGTAGATGCACCTGGAAATTCTTTCCACCCCCCCCTTCCATCCTCTCCCACTTCTGCATGTCTCAGAAACTTACTTGAGAAAGTTACTGATTCCATGCCTGAAGCACAGATGATCTGACTATAAAGAAATCTCAGGGTTCACCCAATGGCATGGAAGTTAAAGTGGCTGAATCCCACATGGTCAACTACATGGTACAAGTCCCAGACCCAGAGGCTTGAAAAACACACTGGGCATGTGTGTGTAAATGCCAAAAATCCCAAAAAAAAAGAAACGGAGAAGGGATTGTGGTGCAGTCACCCCCTTGGGGTGTGCTTTCTCACATTCCCTCTTTCTCTCTGGTGAGTGCACCTGCCCTCTAGCAAATAAATAAAATAAAATAAAATAAAATAAAATACACTCTCTTAAAAAGCCAGCGGGTGGTGTGGTGGTTATGGCACTGGATTCCCACATGGCCAACTTGGTTCGAATTCTGGACCTGGCAGCTTGAAACTCAAGCTGGGTATGCATTGCGGGCATGCCCAAAATCCCAGGAGAAGGAAGGGGTGATTTCTCACTTTCCTTCACAATGACTTTCTCTGTCTCTCAAACAAGCACACATGCCCTACAGCAAAAACTTTAAGGAAAAAAAAATTGCTTGTTTAATTTTGTTTTTAATTTAAGGACTATGGAAATTTTAGTGCTGGTATGTACATATACACACACACGTGTGTGTTATTAATATTGATAAATAACGACTATAAAATCTGTGTGGCTTAAGTCAGTCCCAGGGTCTGTTAAGGAAGCCAGCTACCACATGGCCAACAGCTTGGTTGAAATCCTAGGGTTGACCACAGTTTGAGTTCCAGACCTGGTTGCTTAAACTCATGCCAGGCGCGTGTGCATGTGTGCACAACCCTAGCAGGTTGAAAAAAAAAACCATTGGGTTGAGATCAGCAGATGGCATAATGGTTACGTCGCTGGACTCCCACGTAGTCGAACCCAGTTTGAGTCCCAGACCTAGCAGCTTAAAACACACTGGGTACGTGTGCATGCATGCCCAAAACACTCTGGGTGCATGTGCATATGTGCCCATTCTCCCTAGAGGAGAACGGAAGAGAAGGGATTGCAGTGCGGCCATCCCCACTGGGGAGTGACATCTCGCTTTCTGTCTCTCTGGCAAGCCTACACATCCTATAGCAAAAATTTATTTTAAAAAATTAAAAAAAGAAAAATACACTGGGCACATGTACATGTATGCTTAAAATTCCAACAGGGTGGAGAAATAGAAGAGCAGGAATTGGGCATGATCACACCCATTTAGAGGTGCTTTCTCCTTCTCCCTGTCTCTGACAAGAACACATGTCCTCTGGAAATTTTTTTTTTTTTTTCACTGTGAGCAGGATACTGGAAAAAAAAAATTTTTTTGAGAGGTTTTTGCTATAGGGCATGTGCACTTGCTAGAGAGACAGAGAGAAAATGAGAAATCACCCCCAAATCACCCCCGAGGGGGGATGGCCACGCCACAATCCCTTCTCCTCCATTCTCCTCTCAGGATCTTAGGCACGCACGCACACACGCGTGGCATGAGTTTAAGACATGGTAGTCCAGCGACATAGCCATTACGCCATCTGCTGGTTCCCCTCTCAGATAGTACTTAATGTGCACAAATTTCCTTCCTTATCAAGTATAGAAACCAATGTAATTTGGGACCAGATCCCAAGAGAAGAATGGAGAAGGGATTGTGGCGTGGCTATCCCCCCTGGGGGGTGATTTCTCGCTTTCTGTCTCTATATCTCTCTCTGTCTGGCGAGTGCACGCGCCCTAGAGCGAAAAACTCTCAAAAAAAAAAAAAAATGGGGAAGGGATTGGGGCGTGGCTATCCCCCCTGGGGGGTGATTTCTCGCTTTCTGTCTCTATATCTCTCTCTGTCTGGCGAGTGCACGCGCCCTAGAGCGAAAAACTCTCAAAAAAAAAAAAAAATGGGGAAGGGATTGGGGCGTGGCTATCCCCCCTGGGGGGTGATTTCTCGCTTTCTGTCTCTCTGTCTTTCTGGTGAGTGCACACACCCTATAGCAAAAACCTCTCCCCCCCCAAAAAAATTAAGAAACCAATGTAATTTAACTGTTTATGAAAGTATGGTCAATCAACTCCTTAATCTGAATTGATACCATATTAAAAAGGCAGATTTATGGTCTGGCACCATCTAACACTTAATGGCCTTAAATTTCGAACTGGAGTCTAGTACTTTATAACCAGTACCCTTGGTGTTTCCTATGTAACCTGATTTAAGACCCCTAGCTAAGAACATAGGTTTTGGAGGACCGAAGACCTACATTCCACTCTCAGCCCTACCCACTCCTAGCTGTGGAACCATATGCCAATTACTTTCTAACTCTATTTCCCGATTGTAAAATATGGATAAGAGTACCTATATAATAGGGTTATAAGAGTTAAGTAAGGATCAACCAGTGACCTGGTGGTTAAGGTAGCTGGATCCCACATGACCAAATGAATAGTTTGAATCCTGGACTCAGTGGCTTGAAAAATACTCCAGGTGCATGTGCATATGTGCCTATGATCCTGAGAGAAGAATGAAGAAGAAAGGATTACAGAGTGACCATCCCCCATAAGGGATGCTTTCTCACTTTCTCTCTCTTTCTCTCTCTCTCCAGTGAGTGTGTGTGCCATCTGGCAAATAAAAGAAAAAAAAAGGAGCCAGCTAATAGCATAGTGGTTAAGGCACTGGATTCCCATATGGCCAACTATGTTCGAGTCCCAGACCTGGCAGCTTAAAAATGACACCGGGTGCATGTGCATGTGTGTCCAAGATCCCAATAGGAAGATGGAGGAGAAGGGACTGCAGCGTAGCCATCCTCTCAGGGAGTGATTTCTTACTTTCCCTCTCACTGTCTCTGTCTCTCTCTGGGGACTGCACACCCTCCATGGCAAAGAACCTTTTTTTCAAAAAAAAAAAAAAAAGGAAATAAGATAGTGCATGTAAAACAACAGAGTACCTGGCACATAGTACATGCCTGATAATGTACCGGGTCATTGGAAAAGTCATGACACACTTTGGCATAGAAAAACTTAGAAAAATATGTCATAACTTTCCCAGCAACCCAGTATTTTCTTTAAAGGCTATGTTAAAGGGCTAATGGGTGTTTACTTTGGTAAAGAGGTTTTTTTTTTTTTTTTGCTATAGGGTACGTGCGCTCACCAGACAGACAGAGAGAGACAGAGAGACAGAAAGCGAGAAATCACCCCCCAGGGGGGATGGCCACACCGCAACCCCTTCTCCTCCATTCTCCTCTCGGGATCCTGGGCACACATGCACATGTGCCCGGCGTGAGTTTTAAGCCACTGGGTCCGGGACTCAAACTGCGGTCGACTGCATGGGAGTCCAGCGACATAGCCATTATGCTGTTGGTCCCATGGCCAACACTTCTTATATAGCAGGTGTTCAATAAATGTTTGCCCTCCCTGATTTTTGTCTTTTGGTAAATCAGTGGTAGCCTGGCACACTTTACATAAAAGCTTCCAATCCTGCATTCTCATTTACCATCCAAAATTTCAGAAAAATATTTTCTCTTTAAGCAGTGAGAACAAAAATCCCAAAAGTGATGCATATCCTGCCAAAAAGCAATTTGATGAAATTGCTGCCAAGTTGTAGACATTTGCTTCTTTCGCATTTTCATTCCTCAGGAAAATATGAGGAATTACCTACAATTTGTAAAAAAATGGGTGCTTCAAATAACTCCTGAAGTCTTGGTAATCTACTGAAGCTCATGAAACAAATAAGCTTATCTGCCAAGCTGAAGTTAAGAGTCTTCATTTGACATAATGACCACAGTGACCTACGGTTTCACCACATTTGCACCGGCCTAAAAAGTCCAGATGAATGACATGTTTACACTCTGTGCTTGTTCCAGCTAAATGAGTCCTCCCAAAGCTAACAACTAGCACCCCACTACAAACCCTCATGCCTCCACCCTCCCCCAGAGATGTGAAAACAAAATTAGTGCTTTGTCAACTCAACAGTTCATCCAACTAGGAAACTATTTCTTCCAGAAATGTCTGAAACCGAGGGTGAAGGTTTGAAATAACACATGCCAATTTCCAACATTAATTGTTTTCAAAATACCAACCGCTGTAATTAAGTATGTATTAAACTGGGAGGGGAAAAAAGGCCAGACTAACATTAAAATCAGCTATATTTTCATCTCTGTATTCTTCCGCCTTTCTTCTACCCACTTACACTCATCTTGAGAAACATTCCTTCCTTGGGCTACATGGCCTTTTATGACTTAGCTCTACCTAAGGCTAGTACAGGATTTTTTTTCTTTTTGATGGTAGAAATGAAAGAGCTCCACTTGGAAACAAATGCACCGCTCCTCCTCCCTCGCTCCAGGGAGTACAAGTCCACGTGAAAGCCCTTACTGGAGAAACATTTTGGGGACAGAATCAAAGTACTTTTTTCCTCCTGGGGAGGGAGAGGAGGAACATTCTGGAAAATAGACTTTCCACTAAAATTATTGGGTTGTTGGAAAAGTCATGATGCATTTTTGCATAGAAAAACGCGTCATGACTTTCTGACGACCCAGTATTTAAAAGGAAAGATATAAAAGGGCCATTCCTGTTTAACATGTATCTGCTAATAAAATTATTTAGTTTAATATTACAAACAATAAACAATAGCTACCATTTCTGAACACCTGTGCAACTTATTAGACAGCGATGTG